AACATTGTATCCATACTATAAACAACACAATAAATATGTAGCAATTTGAATTTTTAGATCTAGTTCTAAAAAAACATATTAAACAACTAAAATATTCTAGACATGGGCAGTTACTGCATCTAATGATCACATCATCTTTTAAAGTGGTTCTCAAAATGTGATTCCCATACCAATAGCATGAGCATCACTTAGGACTCTTGTGTTTTTTTAAAAAATTGTGTGCCTTACTCCACACTCCCACTTGATGAAAAACTCTGGGGAGTAAAATTCAGCAACATGCCTTTAAACTAGCCTTCATGATGACACATTATAATCTTTGAAATTCACATTAAAGTGAAATAATCACAGATAAAACTGTACCAATGTTAAAAGGACCTATATGAGGAAGGTTCTTTTTTTAAAATATTTTTAGTGTAGTTGGACAAAATGCATTTATTTTTATGTAGTGCTGAGAATCAAACCCAGTGCTTCGCACATGCAAGGCAAGCGCTCTACAACTGAGTCACAACTCCAGCCCCAAGGATTGATACTTTAGTTGGGCTTTTGGAGAGCTAAGTAAGCAAACATTTTGAAAGGAAGAATTCTTTTACACATTGCAATGTTTTGGACCTGCAAAAGACTAGAAGCAGACAGGTAGGTGAGGACTGTTTTAAGTCTAGCCAAGTACATACCCAAGCCAGGACTAAGGCAGTAAGAAGACGTATTAATTGCGAGCATCTATGTTTAGGACATGTGCATTGATTTAAAAAAGGAAAACAGTCATAGGTGATGCCAAATTCCAAACCTGATGGTGCACTTATTATTTTGATGAATGAAAGCAAGGAAATAATAGGCTTGAGTTTTTAAAATACTGCTTTTATTTGGGTTACCAGTAGCTGTTCAGTTGAAAATACTTACCGTGTTGTAGAATCTACCATACCTAAATATAATTTCTAGCTTTGCCACTTATTATCTTTGTAGTCTTGGATAGGAAAAAAAATATTTTTTTTTGCTTCAGTATCTTCATGTGCAAAATCAGCTTAATAGCTTACCTCATTGGCTGTTGTAAAAATGAAAATACACATTAAAATAATTTAACATAGATATGAAGAATCTAGTAGAGTGAATTGTTGGTCCTTGATTATTCAGTGTATTTAGCAACTATTAGCATCAATGAACTGAACAATTGAAATGGATGACTCAAGCTCTTGTTAGGAAACAGAGGTAGTTAGATGTTGGAGTCATATGCAGGAAGTTGTTAATGGAAAATCAGGAAAGAGAAAAGATTATTATAAAAAGAACATAAAATATTAGAAACTGTCTAATATTTAACCTAGAGGAAAAAAACCCTACATTTACTGGTGCTGAGAAGAAGAGAAGATGGAAGACACATAGGCAGAGACATATCAGGACCACATTCCTTTACTCAAACTAATCTGTTATCTATTTGCTTGTTCCTACCCATTCTGTTTGGGGGACTGTAATGTATTGTGACATTGGAAGTCACCTAATTATTTGCCTGAGCAAGAATATTTCAGTATCTCTTTTATCAAGCTCACTATTTCACTAGTCAGCCAGTTCCCTTTTTGGAACTTACTATATTTGTTTTACATTTTTATCCATACCTATTATCTCTTTAAATTGTGTGCCTTATTTGATTTCTTCTTATTTCTGTGACTTATAATATTATATTAGTAGCCACTAGGACCCCTTTCTTCATTCCTTCAAAGCTCCATTTATCTCCTAGTACATAAATTTTTTATTATAGTCAGTGGAAAGAATACCTTCATTTTCCATATTATTAGTATATCTTTACATTAATTTTCCATATCATTATTATATCTTTATATGTGTTCTCATTCAAGCCTATTATACTTAATATTTTAAAACTATAGCCAGAAACTTAAATGAGAAAATGGAAAACTAACCTTAAAATTATTAACTTGAGTTAATTATATATTTCATATATATTGGCATATGTATATTGAAGGACTGATAGAGTTAAAATATACTTGTGTTGTTGAGAAAAATGTTATATATAAGTTGTAAATTACTCAGCAGGCTTCATCCTACTCAGTAATTTCTGTGTGAAACTGACAATGCTTAAGTGGAATATCTACTGAAATCATTCATTGACTCAAAAATCAGGATGTAATGTGATTCTTGAATTATTGACTATATCTGATTAATAAATTTGTATTTGATTTTGTTAATCATCTAAAAATATCATGAGCAAAGCAGATTTTATTTCCCCATCACTACCTTTTAGTATTTTATTTTAAATATTGTGCTTTGGTTTTTGTGGAAATTTTCCATCTATCACAAGCAATCTCAATTAGTTAATTTATAAATTTCATGTTCTTCTAATTGAAACTACCATTATTCATAAATAAATTCATGTATTTTGTTCTTTTTACTATCTATAAAAGTAACTCATTTCATTGCCAAATTTCAGGAAATAGAAATACAAAGATGAAAGTACATATTGCAGTTCTCACTTCCTTTTAATGTAACCACCATTAATGGTGTGTATATCTTTTGGACTTCCATAGCTATATATTTTTTTTTAAACCAAAGTGGAATTAAATGACACCTGCTATTTTGGAACGTACTTTGTTTTACACAATTTTAATATCCCTTACTAGTAGACATTTATATAATATTCAACTTTTGGTTGGTTTAAATCATACTGTGACACATATATTATACATTTCTCTTTGTGATTTTTGTACAGTCATCTTCTTGTGGTACTGGAAGTAGAATTTGGGAGCCAAAGTTATTTACTATATATGATCCTTGGTATATGTTTGCTTGCTTTTGTTTAAAACATTCTTAATGTTATATCAATGATAATACAAAGGCTGACATAAAAGTAGTAACATTATATATCCAATAAAATAATATTCAGCTGTAAAATTAAAACCCACCAAAATTAACATTCTCACCAAAATTAAAATTAAAACCCACCAAAAATTAACATTCCACTTTTTCATGGAAAAACAATTCTAATTTTTAAATTATTGCTGCAAAAATTAAATAGAAAGTGTGAAAGAATAGGAGGAATCAAATTGTACTGAACATTTCACAACAAAACACCATGTAGCCTTTAAAATCTTCAATTAGTCAACAATGATCACATTATAGTGTAAAATGGAAAGAAATTGCTTAGTAGAAACAATGTATAATTCATTGTTGAGAATAGATATGCTGGAAGAAAGATATGGCTATCACATATGGGGTTTTAGTATAGTCAGCAATTATTTGAGTACATTATTCAGCTTATTAATGATTATCATTAATAGTTCTTTCCTAAACTCTCTATAAACATGTTTTCTCCCTCTAAACATAACTCAAAATTTCTCTCTTTTTGGCAAACAAAATGATCATTTGTATTTAAACTAATTTTTATTTGATACTTAGCTTGTAAAAATGGCTTTAAGAACACTACTTAGCTATTAGAGGGATGAGAATCAATGTAATATACCTTTGGACATATAACAGTCCCCATTTACATATAACAAGAGGCATTCAACCAGTTCTGTAACTGTGCTAGATCTGCATTAACATGTTTTTAACTGGCAGCCTCTTACTCATCTTAGCCATGTATCATAATGATCATTTTGACTCATATCTGAGACCCCTGAAGTTTTAAGAATTATAGCATCTTGCTTCTTTTTTCCCTGACTACGTCTATTCATCATCACTCAATTCTGCTGTAGTTGAGGTTATAATTTACATAAATGCTTATTAAATATACTTACATCTGTTGTTAAACCACCCAGGCTTCATTCCAGGTTACTTCTTTATAGTGCATACGGGCCTTTGCTTCTTTTGGTGAAATGCTCATCTCTCTAGCTTGAGTTAAGGTTTTCCAGGCAAACATGGTGAATAGCAGACAAAAGACTTTCATTCTCTTTCACTTGGGTGCCTTCAAAAACTAGATCACTGTTTATACTATTTGCTAAATTGTTTGCAATCCAGGATAAATTTGACCCAGTGTAATTGTATAACAACACATCCTGGAATATTATAACACATTAGAGTTGGGACAAAAGGTTTTTCTCTGTTTTAAATATGAAGTATATTTTTTTAAAGCAAATATTAGAATAATAAATATTTTAATGTATTTCTTTAAAGCATAGTTCTAGGATTTCAGTTACCTGATACTGTATTACTAGACTGTTTTAAAAGCATACTAACAAAAAGTATTCTATGTTCAGAATTTTAAAAGGATGATGAGTGAAGTAATTTAACATGAATAACTATGGAGCCAGGTTTCAAAACATTTATTAAGTATTTGGCTTAATTATGTAACGTGTTTTAAGGTGATATTCAAATAGAAAGGCTTCATTAAATTTGACACACCATATTTTACGTTTATAGGGTTATTTGGAACACATTTCCAATAGCTGCCTCATTGGAGTAGCATTACCTTGTCATTTATTATCCTATCTTTATAGCATGGTAAAAGGTTCATTTATTGATGCTATCATCCTTGCATCAGAATGTTGCCTTGGTGTGTCAGTACTAGCTATTGGTAGTATAATGTCAGTGTATTTTAGAGATACTTGTAACCACATATCTCTAAAAGATGGTGATGAGAAAGCATGTGGTGTAGTTTGTAAGCTCAGGACATTGCCAAATCCTTGTTTTCTGGCATGTGGACTTTCAAATTGTGCTTGTGAATAGTGCTTGGATTTCTACCTAGCAGCTAAGCAGCATTAATGGTGACATAATTTCTTTAAATTCTAAATTATTCCAATGATTAGGATACAGTTTTACTCTCTGCTTTAACATCGTAAATGTCCATTATTTTGTCTCATAATTATATGGACTTTAATGCAGTAACATGGTTAATAAATTCAAAGATAAAATTTCTTTTTTGAGTATATATCTCCTGAAAATTGATAGGATGATACACCAATTATGTGATTTTTTTACTAATCTTATTAAAGGGGGAGAACATTAAATCTTTGAATACTGTACCTCAATTTTATTGTAATGATTTTGCTGGTTACCAGGTGGGGTGGCAGTTGAAAAATTTGGTGAATGCACTACGAGAGGACCCGAGTGGTGTTATCTTAACTTTGAAAAAGCGACCTCAGAGCATGCTTACCTCAGCACCAGCTTTACTGAAAAATATGAGATGGAAGCCCCTTGCTCTGCAGGTAATGAAGCTTAATCATAAGTCATACACCATCATTTTAGCCATAGATTATCTCAGTAATGCTTCTTTATTGTGCCTCATCTCAGCAGCATATGGATTTAATCTTGTATGCTTTTGAAAATTTGTTTGTGAAATGATCTCTTCACAGCTTATCTTAATAGGCTTAATCGTCATGAAATCTGAGAAAGTAACTAAAACCCAAATGATAAAGAACTCTGCCTTAATATATAAACACTTAAAGCATAATTCCAAAAAGCCACAAATATATCATGTCAAAATATGGGTAGAATTGAAAGTAAGAGATTTCATTTTTGTGATATAATCTTCTATTTTATAGGTTATAACTGCATATGCTTCTGGAAGAAGCTAGATGATATTTTAAAGAATTCTTTTAAATCAGGTTATAAGATAGTGATAGTAATTTGTGGACAGTAGGAAGATAAGTTTTAAATTTTAATTAAAATTTACCTAGTCCATTCCTCCTGAGTGTTTTTGACTCTTCTATCTTGTAGAATAGCCAAAATAGGGAAATTGTCACATTAAAATTTTTGCATTTTTATTCAGCATGAAACATCACTCTAAAATATTATGCTGGATATTGACAAATTAATTAGGAGATATCTATAAAGTTATAAAAGTATTCTAGCTGGAAAAAGGCAATGAAGTAATACACTTCCTTCCATTTCAATTAGAATGTAATATTTAAACATATCATAGATTTTTTTCTCTTGCAAAACCTGCATTTTTAAATATGTTTGGTTTATTTTAGTTGTAGTTGGACACAATACCTTTCTTTTATTTATATGTGGTGCTGAGGATTGAACCCAGTGCCGCATGTGCTAGGCAAGTGCTCTACTGCAGAGCCACAACCCCAGCCCCCAAAACCTGCATTTTTAAATTACCTTTTTTTAGAAGTCAAATTTAAAAAAAAAATAATTGCCCATTGCTCAGATTAAAAAAGAGAAGGAATATATGGAAATGCATTATTGTCACTGGTATGCAAATTGTTGTTAAGCTTGATATTAGTACTTTTTACCATTCATAATTTTTTCCCTAGTTCTCTATTACACATGACTGGCCTTTTGGATTATGATGATTTTTCATTGTCTAAAACTTTAATTATTATTAACATCAAAGTTATCATTATACTTAAATCATATAAAAACACATAAAATGTTACAACATTAAGATCTTTAAATTTTTAATGGGAATCTATTTTTCAAATTAATAAATTTAAACTGTATTGATATGTCCAAATGCATTTGACCTACGGTATTTGTTATTAAATATATTTGATGATCATTAAAGTTCAGAGGCCAGTGCTTGCCTCATTAAGTCATAGATGAACAGATCAGACTTTCCCATCACATCATTTTTTTTTTCTTACTGCATTTCAAATTGCTTTGTTGTTCCACTCTGGAGTTTTCTATTGAAATGTCTTCCCCAAGATCCTTCTTCAAAGTCTGAAGAGGTGGGCACCCTGAAGAAGAGGCCCATACTTTCAGCCATTAGGCATTGTTCTCTGTATATGTCTACTTAAACTTAACAAGTCTTTTCTAGTCCCTCATAAAGGGACTTGAACACCAAAAAGACCCTGGTTTCTTGTTGATCAGTGTGTTCTGTTTGAGGAAATGTATCTAGCTAATAAATTGATAATTTGTTCCCCTGTTGGATTCTTTTCCACAAATGCAAACTGGAGAGTTAAGATAATAGCTGTACCCAATTAAGAATAACTTTTATGTAAAATGCCGAAATAATTGAAAGACCAATATTTTGTTACACATACACTTAGTATATGTATTCAAAGCTAGAGTACAAAGACTATAGTTTTAAAAATTATCTCACATCATTTCTTACCTATAATTATAATAGATTTTTAAAGTATTGTTTCTAAGTCCATTTCTAAATACCAAGAAATTTGCCTTCTTATATTATTAAATGTGTTTATTCCTCATTGCTTATTCAGTTATGCTGAGTATATTTGTAATTTTTTTCAGAATGCAAAAATCTGAAAAAGGGAAACCAAAATTTATATGTGTTTATATATTTATCAACATATTTGTAAATTCATTATTTCAACTGAATTTGGTTCACCTAAAATGTATTGGCAATGGTCAATCATCTGTATGTAAGCCATGCTATTATGGAGAAAAAACTACTTTTAACATCTTTGAAAATTGCTTCAGTGCTTTACTTTTTTTACAGATTAGAAGGAAGAATATTATTATTAATTCAATACTTGCAGTTGGTGTTAAAACAAGGTCTTAGGAGTAAGGGTAATGGATAAGTTCTTTAATATACAATCCTTACACCTCTGCCAAATGTCCCTGCATCCTGTTTTGAGGACCTGAAATTGTACCATTATAGTATTCTTTATCTTAAGACTTTGATATATGCTAAAATGCAGACACTTGGAAGCATAATGGAAATTATCTGGTCAGAAATTCCATAGAATATAAATTCTGATACAACCAAAAATGAACAAAATTTTAGGGTACCAGGATCTCAAGATTGAAGTTAGACTGCCTCCAAAGGGTGAAAAGTCACAGAAATAGTGGGATAAGATGGTTTTGCAGGCAGCTGTGAAATTTTTCATGCTATACCTGAGGTCATTTTTTCTTCCTAGTGCCTAAGGAACAACCTCAGATGTGAAGCTTAAGTGCTAAACATAGTACTAATCCTCTGTGTAGGTACGAGTGCCATTCTTATTGTTCTTGCTTCTGTTATGTGTATAAATAAGTTGGAGAAAAAATAGCCATTAACTCATCTAAATATAACTCTTCAGCACTCAACCTTGAATAACTGTACATTAGATTATTTCCTTTTTCATAGAGGTACTGGTATTCTAAGAATTGCTTAAATTGGAGGCTACTAAAATCTGTGATGTTTATTTATCTGGTATGTCTTTTTCTTAGACTATACCAGTCTTAATAGATATTAGCATTTTCAGATAAAATATAGCAAAGTTCAAGTAGACACTAGTACATGCATCTTTTTTTAAAAAAAATATTCTAACATAATGGTTTTTAAATTAATAAGGAAAATTGTTATCTATATAAATAAAATATAGTCTTAGATACTCTAATGTAACTTTAATAAAAGTAGTTCTATTTTTTAAATGTTTAAAAAGATAGTGACTTCTAATATTCATTAACTACAATGATGAATTTTAATTTGGATTTTCTTTTGATACTTATTGATGAAATTATAGTGAAATAAACAAAAGCATACAATTCAACTTCATACTCACAGAGCAATTTCATCAGTACATTTCATAAAATTTGGCAGCTCTTCTGAAAAATTTCTGATTTCTCAAACATATGTGATAGAACTGAAGGACTTAAAAATTCTTTAATTAAATACTACAAGCAGATTTAATTATATTTGAAAGTTTTAATTCTGTTATTTGCATACTTTCATAAATGGCAGAGACGTTTTACTTGAGATAGAATCTTTATTGTAAGAAGCAAGGGATTCCTTGCTTTCTGGGAACTATTTCTCAAACTTAATTGCACCCTTTATTAATTTCCTGGATTTAGGTAAGCATGGTGATTGTTTATGGTCAAGTTCTAATTTGATGAAAAATATTTCCAGGGAACTGTGGATAAACCTCAAGGTATATTGGATATTTTAAATTAGTAAGTGTAGGCCATAGCAGGCATGGGAAGTATCATTTCTTTTTAAAAGAAATATGTTGAACTATTAGCTAGACACTGAAAGCTCCTTGAAATTATCACTGGGAATCAGTGATTTTTGTAAATTTAATAATCCAGTTTTCTGGGAGGAGAATGCATCTCATAAATAATCATTAAAACAATGCTGGAATTCAACAAACTGATTTAGATATTGTTACATTAGCTGTATAATTAGAATTATATTCTTAAACTGTATTCCAATCCATAAATTTCTTATGTTGATACCTTAGTTACTTGTGTGATTTTGTGCTTTTCTATTTAAATTGTATTGTTTAGAATTACCTCAATGACATTTTTACAGGATATTTAAACACCTTTGAGCAAAAACAGAAATAGAAAATAATCCTAACATTTTTTAATAATCCTAACTTTGTCTGTCAACTAGTGTAACAACTGGAGAATGCTGATGACATTACATTTCAACTATATACAGATATGAATGGCTAAATTTATTCCATAAAGTCAAAACACAAAAGTAGCAATAAAATTTACTTCAATATCTAAGTTATGGGTTGGTGTGACTGAAATAAAAATTAGTGACAGAAAGTTTATATGTTTCTGAGAATTTTATTTTAACAGCATGTTTTGAAGAGGACAAAAACTAATATTAGATATGACACTAGAGAAAAATGCGTTTTAAAAAATGTAATTGTGCTAACTGGAAGACAATAACAGTTGTTATGTTTTACATGTTCGAATTAGCAAATAGCTACAAGCAATTGTCATATCAGCTTTTAACTCACCAATGTTTAAGTAAATCAATTAAAGAATTTTAAGTCACATTTGTGTTTTTGAGCCAAATGCTTTTACAGTTAGCAATGACAACAAATAATCAACTAATAATGAAAATATTAGCCATACTTTTTAAATTAATATCCTAAAAATGATGTTTACTGTAATTTGAAAGATGTTGCAGTTTAATTATATTCATAAAATTGGACATCACATAATTAATATATGAGTGTTAGACTCAATACAGTGTGCAAAAGTTGATTTGGTGAAAAAAAAAAAGACATTTTTTACGGTGACTCTGAAGTCTATATTAGTTATATATTGTGTTATTCCATACATATATTTATGCTCATATATCTGTATTTTAACATAGGCAAATATGATTTCCTGATTGAATCTATGGTCAGAAAAATATCTGTTTTCTTTGTAGTATAATAGAAAATAAAGTTACATATTTACAAAAGAAGACTCAAATCTTTTGTATTTATAAGCTTGAATTCTAAAAGAAGCTATGAAATAACTGAGAATGGGACAATGTTGAATACATGCATTTCCCTTGCTTAAGTTCCAAATA